CAAAAACTCATAGGTAAGCTTTCGAGTTTACGCTCTTCTACATTTTAAGGCATTGAAGAAGATCACCGACACGAAAGCTTGCGAAAGAAACCTATTCCATCAACAATCCTTTTTATATTTTTATAAACATATAAGAAGGATAATATTGATTTCATACATATAACATTTTCTCTATTCTCTCTGGATATTTGTCTTAAAATAAATGAGATGACTACAACATATATATATTTATATGGCACAAATGAAAAATTGACACCCATACAACACAAAAAGGAAAAATTAGCGCTGAGATGGTTGCCATGGAAACGTCCACGATCAGTCACCGACTGTAAAAGGCTATTTCCGTAATTTTATGGTGGATATTATGGAAGTCTGTCATAAACCTACGGGTGCTAGGCCTAACCCTCTCTGCGGGAAACATCTCCGTACCCAACGACGAGGTGGAGAATGCTTTCTCTACGGTGTATCTTGTTCTAAAACACTGTGTACACGATGTTTCCTTTCTAAGATATTTAGTGATACCTTTTACAAGTATCCTATAATACATACCTTTTTCAGTGAGTACTAGCATTCATTGAATGTATATTGTCTCGTACTGCTTTTCATACCATTATAAATGTAACACAAAAGTTGGACACCTCTCCCTTTAAAATACATTAAACCTATGTATTTTGTTTCAACACCCAAGTACAGAGCTTGTTATGGTGGGGCTCTGGCTCACTTAAAGTGCAAATGTCGAACTTCTTTTCACATGTTTAGACATGTGGTGCACTTACAGTAAGCGCAGTTGTCAACTTCTACCAACCATGATTATCGTGGCCACGTGTACTAGGGATAAGCAAAAAAAGATATTGTCTCGTCCATACGAGGTGTATTTAGAATATAAACAAGTTTTGTTTCGATATTTCGGTAAGAAATGCCTGTCTTTCTCAATAGAGTATTAAAATTAACTAATTTATGTAAATAATTATATGTAAATAATCTTTGTGGAAAAAATAGTACAAATGTAATATTGTACTGGGATAAGGTGCATAAATTAAGAAAAAGGCATCTACTTATCGTGCAACTGAAAGTTGCTGATGGCTTGCGCCATCTATCGGAATAAATATCAACTATTCTCGTTGATTTTTTTTTATAGTTGATATTTATTCCGATAGATGGCGCAAGCCATCAGCAACTTTAAGTTGCACTATAAGTAGATGCCTTTTTCTTAATAAATTAAATAATCTTTGTCAGGATTAAAATGAGGAATCCTGTATGGGACTTTGATTCCAGTAAAAGGCTTGTTACTGCTGTTGTATATAGTCACAGTGTAGAAAATACTATACTATACCTACTACATATATCTCTGTATTCTTAGTTCTCTTCAATTACTCTGTACACTGGCGAATCCTTTATAGGACGAGAGGTCCTCAATAAAGGCTTTTGTTGTTGTTGTATTAAAATTAAATAAAATGATCCGATTTTAAATCCAAAATATGCATCGTGTTACAGTACTATCATGATGTTTCATGGTGTTTAGAGGCATATACGTGAAGAAGCATATTGTTTTTTTATTTTGCATTTACAAGGTGTCAGAGTCCCGTTTGGTTAGGTGGACTTATTAGTGAAGTTGGTGAAAGTTTTATTTGTTATACACCCATACCTCGCTTTGCGTCAGGGTTACGTTTAAAAAAAAACACGACGCAAATTGAAACGACGCAAAGTGAAAATAAATTGGCGCAATCAAAAACAAAGGTGTTGCCATATTTTAGGGAAAAATTTTTTTTAAATTAAAGACTCGAATCCAAAACAAACGCAACTTCGAAAATCTAACGACGCACAGTGAAAATCAGTAAAAATTAAGCAGCGACACAACTTCGAAAAAAAACGCAAAACGAAACGACGCAAAGCGAGGTATTGGTGTAGTTTTATTTGATATAGTTTTATTTGATAAAAATAGTAATACAGTAGAACTTGGATAATTCGAACTTCTTTAATTCGAAAACCTCTTTAATTCGAATATTTATCTTGGTTCCTAGAATTTCCTATATAAATAATTTAACATCTTTAATTCGAATTTTTGGATAATTCGAATTTTTTTATGGTCCCTTGGGGTTCGAATTATCCAAGTTCGACTGTATCTATTTTATTCATAGTTTTTTATCGGCCTCTTTACTAATTATAAAAAGTTTAAAATATGTGACCCTATGAACGAAACACTTCCTGTAAAACCTCCCAAAAAAGATTAGTGTTCCTCCTAAAACTTACAGTAAACATTTTAAGATGTGTTAATGATTGTGTTTTTTAAGTCACTAAACACGTTTTAAGTCAGGGAGGTTGGGCTATATTCAGTGGGTTTTAAATAGTTTTATAGGTTCAGGGGCTATGTAACAGAGATATCCATAGAACTTTTCTGGGTACTTGGTGTGGTTATATAACATGGATTGTATGGGGCTCGGTATATGAGTGGTGATTGTCGATTTTAGACAGTCAATTCCCAGGATCGAATCCCGCTTTAGGCATTTTTTTTTCTACTCCAATGGGTCCCCAATTCTTACAAATATTTTAACTTTATCAGTGAGAAGATATAACCAAACGGGGATCCGGCACATTTGTAGGTGTAAAAGTCTAACTTCGCTTTCAATATGTGTAAAATGCTGTGTATTTATTCAGTAAAAGCAGTTTTGAACTGACCACCATGATTACCATGGCTTATTTCAACGTGTATACTTGGTAAATATAGGTGCATAGTTAGTTCTTGAATTTAAAACATAAAATACACTCATGGACAAAACTTGAAGAAATAAAAAGTCTGATGTAGCCGGTCTTCTATTTTTTATTTTGAAGGAGACAGAGGTAAATTTGTTCACACTTGGTTATCTCGTGTGTCTTCAATAAATGTCACTGTAATATCTTTCAGAGTTATTGTCTGAATCCCGATATACATGGTAAAAGGTACAACTTCCTTAAGTTTTGTCCAGAGTGTACTATATTCACACTTGGTTATCTCGTGTTTCTTCAATAAAGATCACAGTAATATCTTTCAGAGTTATTGTCTGAATCCCGATATACATGGTAAAAGGTACAACTTCCTTAAGTTTTGTCCATGAGTGTACTATGTTCACACTTGGTTATCTCGTGTTTCTTCAATAAAGATCACAGTAATATCTTTCAGAGTTATTGTCTGAATCCCGATATACATGGTAAAAGGTACAACTTCCTTAAGTTTTGTCCATGAGTGTACTATGTTCACACTTGGTTATCTCGTGTGTCTTCAATAAAGATCACAGTAATATCTTTCAGAGTTATTGTCTGAATCCCGATATACATGGTAAAAGGTACAACTTCCTTAAGTTTTGTCCATGAGTGTACTATGTTCACACTTGGTTATCTCGTGTGTCTTCAATAAAGATCACTGTAATATCTTTACTGCAATGATAAAATATATTGGAGGGCCTGGCTCATCAGTAGTTAACCCTTCCAGCGGTTTCGCCAGTTTAATCTACAAGATATATTAAATTCTGTATTTTAATCCATCTATAGAAGCAGAAAGGTCCTATATAATATTTTAAAAGCAGTCTGATAGATTAAAAACTAAAAACCTTTATTGAAGACACACGAGATAACAAAGTGCGAACTAAATTACCTCTTATAAATGACTGCGGCGTATAATTATAAAGCTATACAACCAGTTTAACAGCATAAGTTTCTTTTTATTTATGAAAAAATCATTTTTAATTTCAAAGAGAAATAATTTAATATTTCTAACTTTTGGATGACGTATGAAAAGGTTGAATATATGAAGAGTGATGGTCTATATATGAATGGATGACGTATGGAGGGTGAAAAATATGAAGAGTAATGGCGAACGGAAAAATAAAAGTGTCCAGGAGCGGGAATCGAACCCACAACCTTCTGCTTACCGGGCAGGTGCCATGTCCACTAGGCTATCCTGGACGATATTTCTCCGTTCGTTAATATTTAACTGGTTGTATAGCTTTATAAATTACCTCTGTTCTTCAAAAAAAAGGCGACCAGTGACATCAAAGACTTTCCACCTCCTAAAGAATTGTCTATGAGTGTATATATAAAGGGAGAGGTGTCACATTTAGCACAGAGAAACATAAACATGACACTTTGTTTATATAATTATCAATTTTCTTTTGCGTCATAAATTTTTTTATAGCTTCAACATCAATAAAAGACCAGTTTTCAGATAGATTTCCCTTTATCTCTCTTTGTATAATATGAACAATATCAATATCTTGAATTTACATTTTATACCTTCAGTATTTATTTATTATTTATTTAACAGTTGAGAGAGACACGCCATATCCACAATTTGGATAATTGCGTGTATATTTTAAATTATATACAATTAACACACTTCAACATTGGAAAGCATGAAAATTACACGTTCGATGTCAAATTTGGAAATATAGTAATTAGAAATAGTAGCTTGAAATATGTACAGTCAACACTTTCGCCTCAAAATATACACATCCTGCAGAATCTATTAAACTTAATGTATTGGTCTTTATTGCGCAAGCAGCTTGTTTTGTATTAGTCAGGTAAAGTTGGTTTTCTTCCCTTAGATCAGAATTTAATGGACAGTTTATCAGAAGGTGTTCAGGAGTTTGTTGTTCGTTTCCATAAGTGCATGCAGGTGAATCAATTTTGCCAATTCTAAACAAATATGTGTTGAAGTCACCATGTCCAGTAAAAAATTGAACGTTATAGAAGTTGGGTTGAACATAGTTAGGAATTCTTGAAGTATCAAAGAATCCCTTGAAATTATCATTGGCACCTCCATAGTATTCCTCAATTTTCTGGTTTATAAAATTAGATATAATTTTTCTTTTAGTTGGGTCTGATTTTTTGTATCCAATATTTATTTTTAGTTATCCAATATATATTTGTTTCAAAGAAATCCGTGAGCTTTGGTGTTCTAGCAACAATATGAGTACATTATAAAGGACTGCGGCGTATGATTATAAAGTAATACTTAAAGCCTACCCTCCCAGGGTAGCCTAGTGGACATGGCACCTGCTCGGTAAGCAGAAGGTTGTGGGTTCGATTCCCGCCCCTGGACACTTTTATTTTTCCGTTCGCCATTACTCTTCACATTTTCACCCTTTCATACGTCATCCAATCATATATAGACCATTACTCTTCATATATTCAACCTTTTCATACGTCATCCAAAAAGTTAGAAATAGTACATATTTATCTTTGAAATTAATATTGATTTTTCACAAAAAAGAAACTTATGCCGGGAGGCTTTAAGTATTACTTTATAATATGAGTACAGTTTGAAGATGTTGAATTATAAACCTATGTACTGTGCTTCAAAATTTTGTACTGCAGAGAGTTTAATTATCTTTGACTTTTTAGTAGTATAAATCTATTGTTCACAATATAGATAAAGAGATTCAATACGAAAGCTCATCTATTTTTATAAAATGAAAGGATTTAAAAGCACAAATGTTTCTTTTATACACAATACAAACTTCTACTGTCCTTACTGCGATGAAAAATATATTGAGAGGTCTTGGCTCATTACTGGTTAACCCTTCCAGCGGTTTGGCCAATTTAATCCACCAGACCGCTTCTCTGAGCTCTAATACTGTATTGGACAATTCTGCTTATATACGTAGCACTAAAGGGTGGAATCTCAGAAATGGTTTTCTATATTGGTCATCTTTTCTTGTTTGGAAAAACAATAATTTGTGAAGCAATTTCATTTTTAAAAAGAAAAGAAATAGTACAAAATCATTACATCACTTCATACTAACCAACTCATAATTTAACAGATCAGACTTCACCATGCTTTCTCGTCTTAGAACAGGCCATCTACGTCCAATGGTTTTCATAAGTGAATCCAAACTCTTTGCGAAATGCACCAAATGTCAGGATTCTCCAGCTAGCCCAGAACACATCATATCGAGTATTGCCGAACAGACATCTACACCGACCCAGCTGTGTTCATTAAGGCGATAAAGAGGCATGGTCTTCAGCATCTGGTCTAGACTTAAAGTCCAGAACTGAGATAAGTAAAAAATACTAACTATTCTATAATTAGACGAAAAAAACATGGTGAAGGAAGACGAGTTTCTTTTATTGATGCATAGGTGCAAGCTTTCGGGTAAAAACCCTTCAACAGGCGAGCAATGAAGCGCGACTTATAAAAACTATGGTACAATTCATTGCTCGCCTGTTGAAGGGTTTTTACCCGAAAGCTTGCACCTATGCATCAATAAAAGAAACTCGTCTTCCTTCACCATGTTTTTTCGTCTAATTTTCAATTCAGGAAGAATTCTTTATCTACATTCTATAATTGATAACGAAATGTACTCTATGATTATCACATCAAGCTATTTATATAGATATTTGTCAATTGGAAGATGAGAGAGTACACCGAACTACAGAGTTATATTATCATCATTATCATTTATCATCATAATAGTATTGTAGACACTCTAAGTGAGCAAAATGATACCAATTTTCTTAAAGCTTCGTGAAGAATGAATCATCAAAACCAATTACCTATATATATATAGTTGAAATCGGTGTAATTGGGAACATTGTTCCATTTATAAAGATCCATTTCATTTTGTATAACCCTAACTTGATTAATCATCATTTAAAAGGATAAAACTAAACCTAACTAAACGTTCTCATGTGTTTTTATAAGATCAAATATAATAAGGCTAATTTACTGATTATAAACTAATTAATGGGAACTCGTTTTTTTTTTTCTTTTCTTTCTTGCGCAATTCTATAGAATGGGTTGTCATCTGGCTACCTCTTATTAAAAAAAATGGATCAAGGGGTGCTTTTTATACGCCCATCTTTATCTTTAATTTGAGAGGCCGCCATTTTTTTTTTCGTCTGCTTTCTTTCGTTTGGCCTCTTATTTTGAAGGTATTTCATCTGCTTGATTTGTATTTAATATCTGAAGTTTTACTTGCTAAGTGTTATGATATATATCTTTAGTACAGGTGATATAGGTCAATGATAATCATGATTGGGTAGTTAGTAACTGTTTTTAATAGTAAATTTATCATGTGTCTACACATGTACTTTGTGAAATTTCTTAATATTTTATTGACAATGTTTTAATTTGAGTCAAAAAGCGATTCATTAAATAAGTTTATATTAAAAAAAGACGTACTTGGATCTGTAAAGGACAAAAAAACTTTTTTTTTCTCAAAATATTTCAAGAGATTGCTGTGTAATAAATTGATAAAGATAGAGCAAACTCTAGAAATATTTTTAGAAAAAATGTTTTTTATCTATAGATACAGTTAAGCCCTTTTTATATAAATTAATCAATGTTTTAATTGAAGTTAAATATAAATATAAAGATATGGAATACTATGGAAAAGTTAATGCATTACTGCCATTTAGCTGGGAGAAGCAAACCATTATTTGAACATGTTGGAGAATCACGTATGGACAAATTTCTACAATGCTTCAAAATATTGAACAAACTGGCCTCTTACTGTATCCTTCATCTTTTCAAACAAGTCTGAGGGAGGCCAGGTCAGGCGAGTATGAAGGGTGAGGTAACACAGTGAAGCCAAATACAGCGAGGATGTTACAGGCTTCCTGACTGGTCGTGCATTATCATCGTGAATAAACAAGTGTTCTGATTATTTGTCTGAACGGTGCCATTGTACTCACACTGTAGCCTTCAGTCAAACTTACAGTGCTGTTCGCTGTAGATGGATCATCCAGGTTCAAGCCAGTACACAAGGAGAGAATGTTCTGGACATCATTAATGACAACACAAATCAATAACGCGCCATCTATACACAGAAAATGAAATCATTTAACCATGAATGTATCTTTTATACTCAAAAGAAACATTCATTCTTAAATATTTTCATTAAGTATATATATAGATGGTTCGTTATTGCTGTGTATTAATTTATGCCTAACTGGTCTTGTTCTTTTGTGTTTGCGAAAGAGCATTACTCGATGCAAATATTTGTATGTAATTATGCTATCCTAACAGCTTATATCCATTGTTGGCTTGAATACCATTTCTAAGATTCAACTCTTCAGTGTAGCATATAAAAGCAGAATGATTCAATACAGCATTAGATCTCTAAAGAAACGGTCTGTTAGATTAAATTGGCGAAACCGTTAGAAGGATTTACCACTGATGAGCAAAGCCCTCCCAATAATTTTTCATCGCAGTAAGGACAGTAGAGGTTTATATTTGTGTATAATAGAAACATTCGTGCCTAAATGATTTAATTTATTATCTTAAATGACTGTTACCAGTTTTTTCATCGTTTTGAGAAATACTCGAAATAATAATAACATTCCAAGAAACGCTTATTCTCCCCATTTTTCACTTTTAATAATTTTATTATCTTTATTATGTAAAAATTCTTTATAATAATATCACTATTTAAAACCTAAATTTGACCAAAATATATAAAAGATCGAATTATACCATCAATTAGGGAAGGATTTAACGATACCAAACGATCATTTTTAAGCCTAATTTTTTGGCGCGAAACGTGCGTGTCAGCAGAAAGATGAGAACCATCGTCTGATTAAGAATTAAACTCTTTTTTTAAGTAAAGAAGGAAGTGACTTAAAGGCAATCTAATTTCCTTCTCGGATTGTATGGTAATTAAAAAATATGTTAATTTGGGAGAGTTAAAACTTCCCTTTTTTCCCTTTCTATCCGTAAAACCTATTGGTATTCTAGATTGAGTCTTGTTCTTTCTTTTTTCCCTACTAGGTGTTTCCTGTTAAATTCTTTAGAGATTACTTTTTTTTAAGTGGTTAAAATAATTTTATACAACGTTTATTGCTCTTTGGAAAGTACAAATGAATGTTCTTTTATTTATTTCGGTTGCTTTTAGTTGATTATTGGTTTTATTGGTTTAGAATTATTCAAATATATTGTTTAAAAATGTATATATTGTAACAAAAGTATTTATTATTTTATTAGCAGATTATTGTTATGTTTATATTTTGCTATATTCTGTACACTTCCCTCTTTTGCTTAGCTTTTGTTTATCATTCATAGTTTGTTCTTGACTGAAATATATTCTTGTCTTATCCCGAAGTTGGTCTTCCCTAATTTTCCACGTGGCAATATAGTATGTTAAGGAAAAAGCATCTCCTTATCGTGCAACTGAAAGTTGCTGATGGCTTGCGCCATTTATCGGAATAAATATCAACTATTCTCGTTGATTTTTAATTATTCCAGAATTGGCCAAATACCCATTCTTGATTAATCAAGAAAAGCTAACCACGGATTTGATTAATCAAGAATGGGTATTTGGCAATTCTGGAATAATTAAAAATCAACGAGAATAGTTGATATTTATTCCGATAGATGACGCAAGCTATCAGCAACTTTCATTTGCACGATAAAGAAATGATTTTTCTTAATTTATTCACCTTATCCCAGTACAATATCACATTTGTACTATTTTTTTCACAATATAGTATCTGTCTGTGTGTTGTTGTTGTTAATTATACTAATATTATAAATATAATAAAGGATATAAGCACTAATGTTTCTTTTATATGCAATGCAAACATCTACTGTCCTTACTGCGATGAAAAAATATATTGGGAAGGCTTGGCTCATCAGTGGTAAACCCTCAAAGCGGTTTCGCCAATTTAATCTACCAGACCGCTTCTTAGATCTCTATTACTGTATTGTACGATTCTGCTTATATATGCTACACTGAAAAATTCTTGCTTAAATCCTTTCATTATATATAGCCTACTCCACGCTGACGAGCGCCAACAGCACGAAACACGTTCGTGGATGGCTTTTCTTGATTTTTCAAGAAATTGGGTTGGCCAAATATCAGGGAACAGGCTAAATCAATGTTTAATTGATTTCTGTTCCACCAGATGGCACTCTGCCTTCTGAAAAGGACATGTGCTCCTGGTCAGGATATGCCTTTTCTATTTTTAATATATATATGTAGATGGCGCGTTATTGCTTTGTGTTATACCAATATCATATAGTAAAACCCCTTTATAGCGAACCTAAATTGGGACTGAATCTGTGGTTTACTATAGCTATGGTTTATTATAGCCATAGTTCAT